CACCTATAGGCGGGGTCATGCCATTCAGTTGCAGTGGGGCTCATGACCAGAAGGGGGGTTGCAAGCCTAACACCAGTTCCCAAATTTTTTCCACTAGTTAGCCCACTGCCTTAACAGTTTCCTAGCTGTTTTATGCTGTCACAATAGACCTCTGTCTATTGTAATAGCAGATCAAGTCTCTCTGTCTGCACATAAGCACACACGTATGCACATACCTCATTCTGTTCCTGAGCCTCTCCTGCTCACAGACTGCCATTACTGCCAAAGCATGTGCTGGACAAGAGCAGCACAGTGTTAGGGTTAGAGGTAGGCTAGACACCCAGCAACCAAAGTATTGTTCTCACCCACCAGATGAGCAACAGAGAGCAAGATAGACCCACATGCTACAGTTCCAATCCACAAGCAAAGTTTTTGGGAGTTTGGCTTTAAGTTCACGTCCACCTCTACCCTCTTCTTTCCTGTGCCTCAGTTTCTCCATTTGTGAAATGGGATAGATTGCTTAGTTTTGTAGAGCATTTTGAGATCTTCCATACATGGATACACAGTATTCTTCCTTGGGGATTATATATTGCTAATAAAAATTCTTGTTCTGTCAGTATCCCAACAATGTGTTGGGTGTTTAACTATGCAGACAAGTAGAACCATCTCATCCATTTCATATGTACACTAATTTGTGTCTGGATCCAGATCTCTAGAGAAAGCAACCTAATGTATTCTTCTTTTGTCTTAACCAAAGTTACTGCCTAAAGTGTCAGACTGTTACAAGAGTCCCTCTATGAACTTCACTGGGATTAAGATGCTAAGTCTGTGCAACCCCCCTTGTAATAGCTGAGGTGGACTGTGGGATCCCAGCATGCAGCACTCACTTCCATTTTGGTAACTTTAAGAACACTAATGTAACTATGGGGAACATACTCAGCATCTGGTTCATCAAATTCAGTCTTAGAGTAACTCTATTGCCTTGCTGGAGCTGCTTAAACAAGGGCTGGCTTCATCCCTCCAAGCCATGGTATTGTGCAGCAGCAAAAGTGTTCTGTAGAGCATTGACATGCACCCCAAGCAACTGCACTGCCATTCATTCAGGACTCACCCTTACATATCCTTCTTGTGTCTCCTTCCTCATCTGATTCAGTACCAGGTTGTGAGGCTGTTTGTACCATCTCCTTCTATGTCATCCAAAAGCAAGGCTCAAATTTTCTCCCTCACCTTTGCCATTTCCAGGAGTTTCCCAAAGCATCATTCATAGTTCATCCAGTGAAGCAGACAATAATGCCTTTCCATGTCAGTGTCGATCATGTCACATTGATTTACAAGGCTGGCTCCTGGTCTAAGACAACAAGTTTTATGCAGACTTGTCTTTACGCCCAAACTCCCCTGAAGCCTGGCATTCTTCAGTTTGGTGTCTCTTTCAGCCCTCTGTTGCAAAGGGTATCAGCTGCCAAGTTAGGAGCTAGATGTAATTCTCAAATTTGGAACATTCAGGTTTTACAGGGAAGCCCTATGTGTGATGGGCAGACTGAACCCTACCTGTAAACACTCTGATCTTCAGGCAGATCTTAGATCCAGATCCTTCCAGTGTTGCATCTTGTGGCAATCTCCAGCAGTGTAGACCTGGTGATGTAAATGTTCTCTGCAAACTCAAGTGTTGGGAATGGTAGAACAGAATAGAAGGATCCAGCTTGCTGTGTCTTTGTAGCATTCACTCCAGCAGACTTCAGAGTATCTTTTTAACATGAAGCAAATTCTGTTTAGTTCTGTGGCAAGTTGTTTATATCATGGTTCTGCTTTTGAGTCAGGGGAGTATTACCACTATGTGGTATCACCTCCCCTTGCACTGTTCCAGCAATGGAGCAGAAAAGATCAAATTCTAAGGGGTTTGTCACCCTGCTGTCTCAACTCACTCTGAGCAGAGTCATATGACGTTCAGATAATGCTTCCTTTCGCATCACCATGAGTGCTCCCCTCATTGCTCCCATGAAGGAGCTGTGCTGATGGTAGCACCATGGGTGGGAAGTGACTGAGAAGTCTCAGTGTTGATGCAGTCCTCATGGACGTGGCATTTCTACTTACCATATTGCTGTTTTGGATCCTGCAGAGCCTTCAGATGGTAGAAGCAAGCCATGTCCTGGCTTGAGGCTTCATTTGTGTGTTGCAGTTAGAAGAGGGAGTTGTTGTGTCCATACTCCATTGCCCCGAGAGTTCCAGAATAGCCTGAACAGCCACTGTAGGATGTCTTGGGATTCTCTCCCATTCATTTGAATCCATGCTTGTCTTTGGGCTCTTGGGCTTCAGGCCTTTGCATTTGTCACCACACTACACTAAATGTGTCCAGTGGCTTTTTTGTGGCCTGGAAGGATCCCATGGCGGTTTGTCTTGTTGTATTTTTACAACCAACTTAATAGCCTGCAAGAGGAACAGAGGTCCGCCTCTTATGCTTCAAAGGATCTCCAAAAAAGTACAAGAGGAGTGGGAGGCAGCAGCAGTTCTAGGGGAAACGTCTGTCTGTTCCCCGTGTCTGCGGTCCCTGTGAAATGCCCGTGTGTGTAACAGGTCCCCACTTCTCTTGTTTAACCTTCTCCAACTCTTTCTTCCAGATATTTGGACAGCCCTCATTTATCCCTCAGATATTTACACACGGAGAGCAGGTACCGTCCATCTGAGATTTCCTATTGGACCCTATAGATATTTGTCCTGTTGCCCTCTATGGATGTCTCCCCCTCAAACAGTCAGGGTCATGTGTTTCAGGATGTAGCACATTGTGAAAAACTGCCTCAGGAGCGTGTCCTGTTGGAGCAGTACATGCTGGGAGGAGTGGGAGGGAAAGGTCAGGACACAAACAACTTTCTGCAAAGACTCCTACGGTGGCTTTAGTGGGACCAGCCCTTCTTGGGTGTTTGGTTAGCAAGTGCCAGTCTCTGGGAAGAATTAATGAACCTCTCATATCCAGCTGCCACTGAAATCGATGAAGCTTCAGCAATGACCGACTCAGACCCTTGTTGATCAGGGAAGGTTGTTGGTCATTTTGAATAACTCCTGCCCTACAAGACAGGTATCAGGTGGAAAAGGGTGAGAGAAGACAGACAGCTGGAAGCACAGGTGAATTACAGGAAGTCGGATTACATAAGAGATGTATTACTGGGGCAGTTGGCTTAGCAGACCTTGTTTACTGATCATTTATTCATATATTTGGTGTGTGTATTAATTTTAGGTCAGCTCTTCTAATATGAACCTCTCCTAGGTCAATAGCTAACAGGATCATCTCCCTCTAGGAAAGCCTAGGGTTGGACAGGTGGTATGGGAGACCGAGGATGCAGCAGCCTTCTGAGGTGTCACACTGCCTGGTCCCCACAGTCTACATGACCAGCATGGATTTAACTAGCAGTGGCCTGAATTGGATAAGTTCTTCCTACTGGGACATAAGATCAGACTAGGTTCATGAAGACACTTAGCCCAGAGCACATTGGCAGGGGACCTCAGAAGGTTTTACAGCACAGAGCAGGGATTTTACTTATAAGAGACACATGCCACACTTCTGCCAAGGCATTGTAAAATCACCTCAGAATACATAGACCTTCCCTGGTGCCTTCTAGTGAGGGTCACAAAGTGCTTTGGAGATACCAATGTAAGAAGTCTCACAATGGCCTTGTAGCACAGACATATAGTTGACAAGTTCCAAAGCAAAAAATGGAATCAGGAGAAGACATCTTGGCATAAAACCCAGGAGACCTGCCCCCTGCCAGCTCTGACCACTACACCTTGAAGTGCTTGCTTACAGATAAAGAAAACCTATTTATAAACTCAGCAGCCTGATGAACACTGCCATGAAAAAGCCATGCACACAGCAGAGAGAAGAAAACAGGCCCTGAAGAGAAGGGTAATTTCTGGGTCTTCTCTCTTCCCTGCAGACAAGGGAGGCAGAGCTGAGTGACCAGTATGAGGCAGTGTGTGACTCAAACTACAGTGAAGCTGAGTCAGCTGCTGTGGAGGTGCTGGACCTGCCACTGCCCAGCTACTTCCGCTCCCGGAGCCATAGCTACCTCCGTGCCATCCAGGCAGGCTGCTCCCAGGAAGAAGACACAGCCTCCGTGCGCTCCATCTCACCACCTCCAGCCAGCAGCATCAGTGGCAGCAGGACGCTTCCCAACAACAGCAGTGAGTTCTGTGGGGCATACATGTGGGAGAGGGGGGCACTGGGGTGGTAGGGAGGAGTGGAAAATGTGATTCTCTTGGCACAGGGAGATGGGCTAGCAGCATCAGATTCTGAAAGCCTATGGGCTCTGGGTGCTAATATTCTGGTCAAATGCTGTCCCCATAACAGCATTAGAGGAACAGTGCCCACAAAAATATCTACATAAGGCAGCGCTGAAATCCTTCTGGTTTTGGAGTCAATTATCTTAATGCTGCTGCTATCCTGGGCATAGCCCAGGTGATGTCCTTATTTAATGTGGCTGAGCTGTCTTCCACAGCAGGTGTTCAGACACTTAGGGCCTTGCCCACATAGCAGAGCCTCTCCCCTGTTAGCCAAACTTGCTGAGTTTGTGCCATGTTCATTAGGCCAGTTGAGGATTGAACTAGGGCTGTGGGCAACAGCTGTTCCATCAGATGTTGTAGCTGATCCAGCAGCACCTGGGCTAAGCCAGGTACCTCCAGGAGCCTGCCAGCCTTGGACAGCTGGATGTAGAGTCTGCTGATACAGGAGATGAAGTTGGAATGGGTTTCACCTGGTTCCAAGCATTAGTGATAATCAGGAAAGTTTCATGGATGAGCCTTAGGTGGTATAGCTTTTTACTTCAATAAAGAGAGAGAGAAATGAAGAGGTGGCTGGAGATTTCTCTGTTCCAGCAAATCCTAAACTCCACATCTAAATCCACCAGGAACTTGGGGAAAGTCTTTATCAAGGTCTGAACTTTGTGGCTTGGTAATGCAGTTCACTACCTCAGACCACCTCATCCTTCCACCTGTCTGGTGACCCTGCAGCCAGACCAAGTGTTTGACAGAACAACAGCCTGTCAGGCTGTATGTCTCCAGGCCCAGATGCATTCCAGACAGGGTCCCAGTGAAATATGTGAGTGCTGAAGCTATGTTGTGGATCCCCAAAAAGGGCTGGGGGCAGATCCTGTTGCAACTCCTGTTTGCTATCTGAGCCTCCAAATGTGATCCTGTTTCACCCTACTGGGATCCCTGTAAGACTATTAACACATCTGCATCACAGATGAGGAGGGCCCACCTGCCTATGTGTCAGTGTTTTTTCAGGCCCTTGGTGTCTGCTCTGTAATATGTTTTGCTATGTGAATTAAGCTGGAGTGTACTGATCAGATGATAGTAAAATCCTCCCCTCTCCTCAATTCACCCCTCCTCTCTTCCATGCTTCTGATCTGTAACCCACACAAACTGCACTAGACAGAGCTTGGCCTTGCTCAGAGGATTTCTCATGAGAGCTAATACTGTGTCAGTGATTCTACTGTGGATTCCCAAGGGGCTCCCATCTTGGCTGGTCTCAGGTCCAATGATCTGACTCCTCCAGCAAGAAGCCAAAGCATGTGGATACCGTAGATAGGAGAGTTCTAAAGGTTTGGGCCCATTTCCTGGGTGATAAAGAAACGCTGATGTCAGGTTTATTAGCATGGTAACCTCTGTGAGGCATCCTCTGCCTGAGACAACTGAGGGCTAGAGCAGACTGAATGTTCTTTTGTACAAATGTGCACAGTGAATGCGGTGCCAGTGAAAGGTGAGAGACTGGAAGCCCTGAAGACCACAGTTGTATATTCATCCACCAACTCAGTGCAAGTTTCTGCTATGTTGTTCTGCCCACCATCCCCAGCTATGATTCAAAAAGGCCATTTCTCATGATGGAAAGGAAATTAGTCCTCTTCATGATCAAATCAGTCCCTGGCTGAAAGTACCCATTGGCACTAACTGGCTTTTGTGGCCTGGATGCTTCTCCACTGGTAACTAGACTGAGAATCTTTGAACTGATTTCACATAGAACATCAGACACCTGTTGTCCAGTAACAATTTAAGACAGGTTTTGAACCACATGACTTTGAACTGTCTAAGTCTTACTGAATTTTAGGTTCAAGCAAACCCTTGAATCTCAGAGCAAAGCCACAAATTCCCAGAGACTTGGATGAGTCCACATCTGCTGTACCAGGACTTGGAAGATGGCCGGACTTGTAGGGTTTGCAGCACACCACAATGTTCAAGAACTTCCTAGTTTGTTGTAAATATTTGCCATATCTCTGAAGTTATTAGAATGAGGAGGCAGGAAGAGTGGCTGGAAGATTATGGGAGCTGATGCCAGTTTAGAGGTTAGGCCTCTTTCAAAGTCAGCTCAACCACCAGACACCTTGATATTTAACCTGTGTTGTATGGGTTCCAATTCCTTCATATCTGTGATGTGCCATGGAATTTGAAATCCCTCTACAACTGCTGTAGAGTTAGTAGTATGTTTATGTTATTTGTTAAAGATGAGCTGGGCCAAAACCCCAGACCCAAATGTTTCTTAACTTGGAGTAAGAACAGACAGATCTTGCTCTGGCCTCAAGGGAAGAGTGAACCAAACGTTATCCCCAAAATTCCAGTTCCTTGCAAATTTGGCATAGCACCAGCACTTGGTAAACAATATGGTAAAATTCAGATCCAGTTTCCTTTGTGGGCCTCTCTTGGTTTTGGATATTGATGTTATTAGTTCCAGACAGGCCTGTCTCCTGCAATTAGGAATAAGTGTGTTTCAAAAAGCAAAGTCCCCAGTTCTCTTCACCCATAGGAGTAAATCTAGAGTAGTTCCCTTACCCCAGAGTATGCAAGGGGCCGAAAATGCAATGAACAGCTGATGGTTCTAATCTGGGATATGATTTGTTAGAGGCGATTCTTAGGTATGACAAGGGGATATTTTAATAGTGGTTCTGTGGTCACCCAGCCCACAGGAGGGCTCTGATAACTATAGTGCCTTACAGTTCTCAAAAGGGCTTGGTCAGAATCATTTTACCGATTGCTGAAATGTAGCTACCTCTAAAAGGGCAATGACAGCTGTTAATGCTACATAGTAATACTTTAGGTTAATTTAGGATAGGAAGCAAAGAATACTGCACCCACCTAAAATACAACAACATAAGGCACAAGCTGAAGGGCTCTGTATGTTGTTGTAATCAGAATGGGAGTTTAGTAAAACACTGGAACAGTTTACCTAGAGAGGTGGTGGAAGCTCCATCCTTGGAGGTTTTCAAAACCCAGCTACACAACATGGACTTAACTAGCAGTGGCCTAAATTGGATAAGTTCTTCCTACTGGAGCATAAGATCAGACTAGGCTCATGACGGCACTTCCCCCAGAGCATATTAGCAGGCGACCTCAGGAGGTTTTACGGCACAGAGCAGGGATTTTACTTATACAAGACACTCTCCACACTTCTGCCAAGCATTATAGAATCACCTCAGAGTATATAGACCTTCCTTGGGGCCTTCTAGTGAGGACCACAAAGTGCTTTGGAGATACCAATCTGAGAAGTCTTACAATGGCCTTGTAGCACAGACATATAGTTGACACGTGCCAAAGCAAAAAATGGAGTCAGGAGAATACATCTTGGCATAGAACCCAGGAGACCTGGACCTGATACCAGAATTTGGACATGACACCAGTACCGGTATTCTTGGAAAAAGTGTCACATGCTCATTAATGATAAGTGCTGTTGAGAGACTGTGATGCTGGGGGCCTTGGAAATACTTGCAAACTCTGCATGGAAGTGATCACAGCCTCCATTTTATGTTTCATCCAAAAGGCAGCAGGCCTGTCAGGGCCTCTGCTACGCTGGGGGGTCCATTCAGCTCTGATGAGGGAGGGACACTGGATGACAGACCAGTTGCTAGGTTGATCTCTCAGCTGCATATAAATGGATCCTGATACTCATGCTTATAACAAGAGCACATCTCAAGGGGGCAGGGCCACAAAGACAGGCCATAACCATATGTGTATGTGCATCCATCACTGTATAAGCAAAGCAGGGCTGGATCTGTCCACCTTGGTAGGCAAGGTGCTGATCCTGAGTGTAACATATGGCTCATTGTCCTTTCAACACTCCCTACACCCCTCCCTTAGGGGTCTGGCAGAATCGAAGGGTCCATTTTCTCAGCTATTACAGACAAAGCAGGGCCTCAGGGGGAGACTGCCTATTGTTGGCCAAACCCTGTCCACATTGTTGGCCAAACCCTGAGCTGGGGAACTCAGTTGGTGGCATGCTGCACTTTGATTGTTGACCAGGTGAGACACAATTCTGCCCATTGAGACTTAGGAAATAATTCTGCTTTCATAGGTGTTGCTGTGATTAAATTAGTTCCCCCAGAGTTTTAGGTGCCTACACATGAGCAGCAGGTCTGCTCCAATGCATTGTAATTACAGCGTGTTGGAACAGGCTTGATTAATTGAGTCTGCTGGAGCGTGGTAATTACCATGTTCCAGCAGACTCCAGCGCCTCGTGTATCAGTGTACCTAAAATTAAAAATGGTGGTGGGGATGCTTTAACTAAAGCACATCAAACTAGCTTTAGTTAAAGTGCCCCCACTGCCATATTTAAGCATGGGGACACTGTTACATGAGACACTCCAGGCGCTTTAATTAGAGTGGCTGTCGGAGCTGATCTAATTAAAGTGCTCCCCTCCCGCCCCCACTCCCAGAGCATGTGTATAAACTCCCTTAGCTTACAAGTGGGGCAAGGGGTAAGTCAGTTTGGTACCTTTCTGAGAAACACCCTTCAGTGTGTGCGTCTCTTTAAATTCCTTTCCAGGATGGCATCTCAGTTGTGCCTCTCAGCTGTTCCTTGGTAACCAGAGAGGACAGTCAGTTTGGATCCGAATGATCCCTTTCCCACTTGGTGACAATTAGCACACTTGCTGTTGTCGTTATCCATGGCATCAGAAGTTCAACGCGTGTCATGATGCCTGCTGCTGCAGAGGCAGTAGCTTTGTCTACAGACTGAAAATCTGGATCTTGTGGTTTCTTAGCTTATAGGTTTGACTTAACTGCTTTGGCCATGAAAAACAGCAATGTCCAGTGCTCAGCCTGGCAGCCAGGGGACAGGGCACTCACAGTATTGAGTACTGCTCATGGTATTGGCATGCAGGGAACAATTAGGAGAATGCAGGTTAGGAGATGACATT